GTGGCTCATGTCTTCTACTTCCTTGGCATCACAAGGGCAAAGTCTTGCAGCTAATGGAATTTTTTTGTATCTGCCGTCCAGCACCGCTGAAGGAAGAACATGGCAACGAGCTAAAGAGAATGCTTTCCGCTGACTGGGGAGCTATGCTGGAGGGTCCCCAGTACAGTATACTGGGAATTCAGTTCCCACAAGCTCTTTGTAAGCGGCTTATAGGAACTGAAATCCAACATAATGTTGAAGGTACTGACCTTAGGAAAATTTGGCTTCTTAGTTCCAGGCAGAAAAAAGTCCTCCACGTTTCCCTTTTAAACTCAAGATCAACCAGCCCTGATGTTTTCCTCTGCTCTCTGTACCGCCTCCCCTCAGCCCAAGCACCCACCCTACCTCTTCACATTCAGCTCCCTGGAAGTAGACATAGCTGTTGCATTCCCGACACTTGGAGGGGGTCCGCAGCTTCCTCAGCCGATGGGTCTGTGCAGCTTTGGACAAGCTGAAATGCCGGAAAGGGCCGGTGGGTGTAGAGATTCCTGGAGTCATTTCATTAATGCCTGGAAGCCAGAAGGAAAAAGAAGTAAAAGCTTACGCAGAGGCTGAAACACCCCCACAATACACTGTGACATCTAGATTTTAATTCCAAAGAGAATCTGAATGGAGCGTGCTCCCCCTTCCTTTGGATGAAGCATATTCCTCCTTATCTTTTTTTATTGCACGGGAGTATTTTTCTGCTCCTGCTTAGCACCAGGTTAGCTAGCAAATTTCCTATCATCCTTGGCTCGATGCAGGTGGTTAGGGGTATGTTTTCAGTTTCTTTCCAGCTCAGTTCCTAATGTGCCCAACCATAAAACACCATAAAAAGGAGTCGTGATGCGTCAAGCCGTCAAGGCGTGTGTGTGTGCTGTTCCATGGTGTCTCACTGATGCTTAACAGCGCCGTTATGGATAGACAAAGCGCCACCCAAAAGAATCCTGATCACACTTAAAATCATGTCTTAAAATTCTTGACCGTGAGAGCGACTGGGCCGCAGAGCAGCCTGACTCCTGCAGTGGTGGGGGATCCATTTCTGGCGTTTTTCAAGCAAAGGTCTGAGGATTCCTGCCCTGGGCCTCTGAGGTTCCTTCCCACCCTGATTCTATGCATATGGTAACACTGCATCAAGGTTGCTTTTTATTCTGTTTTGTTTCTTTTTATCTGATTATACACACTTATGGAAATCTGGAGGGGGATTAGGCCAAATGAATTAAAAGTTACAGCTATGTACAATGCACAGCGTTCCAGTACACAACGTAGAACTAAAAAAACAAAGCAAAGGTGTGTTTTAGGCATGTCTTCTGACCTGCTGGGAAAAAAAAATAAGGACCTGCTCCTTACTATCCTTTACAGGGAACCTCCAGCCTCTGGCTGTGGATCTTGTCCCCATTTTAAAGGTTTGCCCCTTAGTCCCCCCTCTACAGGGAGGATTTATACCACTGGTATGTATTGTTCCATTAGTACATACTCTGTTCAAAGGAAGGTGAATTTTCATCAGGGTCATCTCTAGGCGACAGCGATCCATTTGAAGGCATCTGCTGGAACTTCTGAGGAAAGTCACCTAGCCAAGAGAGAGCCTTGGTCTTAGAAGTTATCAAACTAGATCCCAGAGAGCAGAAAAAGGAAATCATAAAGACATCAAAGACAGGCCTATCTAGGGATCAACATGTGGCACATGGAAAAAAAACGGGAGGAGCTCTGATCACACCATTGTGACTGCCTTTGTGGCTTTTTTGACTGCATCCCGCAAGAATTTCCCCCAAAGGTTCACGCTCCAGCTTTTGAGATTTGTCAGAAGGAAAACTCCATAGTTTGGGGGCATCTTAGGAGCCTTGGTCGGCCCAGAGAGTGGAATACGTAGAATCTGGCTGAGCTTCCAGATCTTGTCACAACCATGAAGGTTATTGGTGATTACAGGTCAAATGTTCTCTTTGAGTGTAGCCCACCTTACAGCGGTCAACTCAAAATGCAGAATAAGTCTTCTTGAGTGACTAAAGGGTAGAAACAAGTTGTTTTTCTAAAGCTCCCTGAATTTAACTACTCTTTTCATAGGTGGTAAAGTGCAAGAGGGTGCATTTATCAATTATAAACTGAATGAATGAATGAATGAATGAATGAATGAATGAATGAATGAATGAATGAATATATTGACGCAGGTAGGCAGGGGGATCTTGATAGTTTCTTTTCAGCTCGGTTCCTAATGTGCCCTTCTGGATTCTGCATTTGCACAATCCGCAGGTCCGAACATGGAAGGATACCTGAGCTCGTGCCAGAGGATTCCAGACTGTCCTTGCTCTCTGTGATGGCTGTCGGCCATGACTTGTGTGCCTGGTGACCTCGCCCACCTAAGGAGCCAAGGACAAGACAGATTTCATTCCTGCGTGCGTAGAATCAGACCAGGTGTCGAGCCTCTGCATTGCCGACCAGTCCTTTGCGGCAGAAGAGCCTTCCCCATTCAGGCACTTTCCAAATACAGCTGGGCCTTGATTAGTGCGGATAATGAATCCCATGAAGGGGTTGTGTTATTCAGATTTGCACTATTCAAAATCATAATTAGATGTAAAGTATGGTAATTGGTTCCAGCTCAGCAGGAATCCTGTTCAATTACATCCAATTTTTGCTCTAATGTAATAACAAGCCTCTTCTTTTTTGCGCTCATAGTGTTTTTGTTTGAAGGAATCTCCTTCTCTCCACTTGGCTAAGGACACTTCTTAAACCGATCAAAACAAATCACGAAAACTAACATATATTACTCCAGGCAGCAGCACACGCGCCCGCCAAGTTAAACAAATGCAGACTGAAATAGCAATGTCTAAAACCCTAACGCAATGTTGTCCAAACTTGGCCACTTTAAGATGAGTGGACTTCAACTCCCAGAATTCCCCAGCCA